TACAAGCTGCCCAGAGACCTGCGAGGTGGTGATTCACTGGCACAGTGAGGGTGTGGGCAGCAGCTGGAGCATGACTGTCAGGGGAGCTGCACACTGTGCTCCCTCCCCTTGGACAGTCGCTCATAAACACACACTTTATTAGCTGGCTGTGCTCAGGGGAGCTACTTGTTGTTCTGTGTACACACAGTTCTTTGTCTCCGCAGAGATAGGTGAAGCCCCTGACATCACAAGGACCACCAAGCCAGACAGTCGGCCTTCATGACAACGGGTCAGCAGCTACCTGTGTCCTTCATGGCACGCTCTCCAAGGCACGCACACACTCCTTCTGTCATGGGCAGATTCCTCCCCAGCACAGCTGAGCATGTTTTACCCACAGGCCTCCAAGCATGAGACAGATAGGAAATGTTGTCTTCTCCAGTTTACTTGGAGCGAAAGGGGAACACTAGTAAATATCAGGCACAAAGGTCTCCAGCAAAGGCCACAATAGAAAATTTTCCTCTAAGCGACTTGCCTGAGTCTCTGACCAGCTCCAGGGCAGAGGCAGGATAGACCAGGAGTGCAGACACCCAGTCCCCTGCTCTTGCTAGAAGGCAACTCTTCCTAGATAAGGCCTTGTCTACACTAGAAATGCTCTGATCGTGTAGCTGAATGGGCCAGCTCTCCTGTTCCAGCAGTTCTCATCTGGATTATCCAGAAGCAACATTACTACAGTGGCAGAAGCTTCTAATGTAGAGCTGGTCTAATGTCAATGGTGCACTGTATCCTCTATCACGGTGCTCAAAAGGGTTTTGTACCACTGGTGTGATGGCAAATCACTGTGTAGGGGGGTGCCCGAGGGGCTGTTTCAGGAAGCAAAGGACAGAGAAGACTTTTGCCAGCACAGAACATCCCAGCACAACGCAGAATTGTGGAATCCTTTTCTCTTGCAGGCAGGTGTCCCCACAGCTGGCGTCATAGAGACTGGTGCAGCCTGTTCGGACACATCCTATCCATCCCCTGGGGCCAGTGCAGGATTGTTCCCTCCACTGCGGATTGCAAATGTTGTGTTTTGACAGGAAAAGAAGCTTGGGGCAGCTTGCTCCGCTGCCACGTGAGCTGGGTGGGAGTTTCCTTCAGGAAGGTGGAAAGTTATTGTATTCCTTGTGCTGCATGGAGACTCATCAGGCCTGTTGATTAGAAGTCACTCTCCTTTCCAAACAAATGAGTTAGGACCAACAGGGTTGCCAATATAGTTTTCTAGTGGGGAGGCAAAATCATAAGTTGATCATCTCCATACGTGAGGCTCTGAGTCCATGGGGCAGGAAGGGACTTGCTGCAGTGGGCAGAGGGCTGTTCCTTCCCTGAGCAAATGGTAGGAGAGAAAGGAAATCTGGGGTGATTGGTAAAGATCACTTATCCCTGCTGAGGCTGGATAAAGCTGCTGCAAAGTTGTGCTGCCCTACTGGAGAGCTGCAGCCCTGTGTTGCATGGGCTGCAGGCTTCCCTTAGTCCCTAACACAATCTGCACCATTCCTATGCATCTCATCTGTTGAAAGCCATGCAGTGCCCTAGCTTGGAAGCTGGGAAATATGAGCAGGTAGTGCCCAGAGTGAAAAGATACCACTCGGGGAGGCAGAAGGTACCACAGAGCACAGTGTGCTCAGGGGTCAGGCAAGCACAGAGCCTGTGTCCCCGGGATGAGGGCCGGCACATACCACACTCATCCAGATGACAGAATGGAAAGTCCCAGAGAATTCCTCTCTGACTGATGAATGAAATCTCTTCTCCAAAACGCTGACTTGCAAAAGGACTGACCAATGAATCTGGAGAACGGTTCCAGTCCCACTTCTGAGATCTTTGTGTTCCTGGAACCAGAGGAAATCTGAATCACTTGTGTCAGTTGGAACCACTAATGAATCTAATGCCATGAGGCTGGGAAAGGCATCTGAGGGGAAGAGGGGGTTCAATTTCTGTTGCCCTGAATTGACATTAAAACGGTTTCCTCCTTATCTCACTCCAGCTAAAGGGCAGGAAATGGATATAAATCAACACAGTGGAGTCAGAGACCCAAGCCTTTATGCCTGCCGAGGCTCTGGCCACAGAAAACATCTGACACAGCTCCCAAAGGTCAGAGAAGAGAGAGGGGAAGAGAGAGGGGACAAGGGACCCACTGGGGCCAGTGTCCAGGCATCATAGAAGGGCTGAGAGGAGCACTGGACGCAGCGTGGGAGGGCTCAGAGAACATGCAGGTGTTGCAGCAAAGCATCTGACCCAGTCAGGTGTAAATGGATGCCTATGAAACCTGACCCAAGTGTTGGGCTCTCTCATGCGCACTGTCCAAACTGGCATCTGTTTAGGGCTTTCCCCACTGAGACTCATAGAGGCTATCGGTAAATACTGCTGGTGTGACAGGCTTTTGCTGCTGGTACTCTAATCTGTCTCTTTCTAGCTTACAGACCTGAGAATCATGGAAGAGAAGTGACTCGCTAAAGGTCACACAGTAGGGCAGTTGCAGAGCCAGTTCTGACTCTAGTTACCTGCTCTACCCATTAATCACTGAGCCAGTCCCTCTCCTTGCCTCATCAGCTGTTTTTCCCTGCATCTGTCTCCTTCGCCTACCTCTGTCCCTTAAAAGCTGGGCTTGGCTTTGACGTTTATCTCAGGACTGCTGTAAGAGCTAATCCTTTCTCTGCCTGCCTGCTGCTAATGATCTCTTCTCTTAGCTGTCTCAGAGCCCCCTGCTGGCACTCTGCTTATGTAGCCACCTGTGGCACCCTGACGGAGGCTGCTGCATCCGAGCACGCTGCCAAGCTGTAACGTGGGCAGTAGACAGATGTCACGGCACTGGCGTCCTGGAGAGGAGCACAGGGCGCTACGGAGGTGATTTAACTTGGTGACGCAGCTGGATGCTGCACTGATGCAATGCTGATGTGCCGGATAGAACGACTGTCCTCTGCGTGAGGGCATGAGGGGGTGTCACAGCGTGAAGCAACGATGCTGAGACACAACAGGATGGTTCAGTGTGGCACTGTGACTCAGGATGCGTTGCTGTGGCATGCAGCACAGGATGATGATGCAGACGTGCCTGTGATTACTATTCCTTCTTTTCCTTCCCAAAATGCCAAGAGGCCAGAGCCCAGTATTAGGGCCTCGTTACACCTTATGCCATGAGCTGCACAAATATAGATGGGGGTCAGTGCTAGCTCGGGTTTGGAGCGGTCACATTTCAGGCCAGCTAGGGCCCGGAGGACTGAAAGGTAAGAATCCCCCCTCCCATTCTGGGCTTCCCCCAGTCCCCTGCCTCTGGGGCTCCCTCCGTTTCCCGCTTGCTTCCCCTCACCAGGGCATTACTTACTTGTGGCTGCCTTCTGGCTCAGAGCAGCAGGGGCTGGGCAGGCAGCTGAACCCCAGGGGCAGCTACCAGTAAGCTGCTGGTGAGCCGAGGGAGGGCAGTGGGCCTGGTCTGGGCCAGCGGGAAGAAGGGGGCAGGATGGGTGGGATGTTTACACTAAGGTGTAGCCTAGACTGGCCACCCCTTAGCGTGACAGGAGCTGGGTGGCAGAGATCAGCCCTGCCCTGGCGCTCTGAGCCCCGCGCCACCACGAGCGCTGCAACCCAGCTGCGGGTGCTGACGCGCAGACAGTCCAGGGGTTACGGGTCCCAGGAGCCACAAGGCCCTGCCAGACCCCGGGCAGCCCTGGCAGAGGTCCTGCCAGCGCCACAGGCTCAGGTCTCCCAAGGGTCGGAGGAGAAAGCCCAGGATGCGCCCACGAGGGATGAGTGTGGCAGGGTGCTTGGTGCCCATCACTGCAGCTGGCACCCATGGGTGAGCACGCCTGGCAAGGGGCGCGAGGGCCACATACAACACGCGGAGGCTGACAAGGGGGGAAGGTGGTCCAGGGGCAGCCTGAAAGTAGTGGCAACAGGGGGGTGGGGTGGAGGGGGGACCACACACAGCTGTACCAGTGCTGCTGCAATGAAATGGGTGCGACGTCACAGGGGCGCCTTGACGTCACGCCGCCATGTGACGACACCCCGGGGGGCGGGGCAGGTGGATGCTCCAGGGAACAGCGTGATGTCATAACGTTCGCAGTCGATGACGCAACCGACCGCGAAGAGATGCGTGCGTCACTCAGCGAGCACGCGGGCCAATCACACGCGCGGGGCGGGGCAAGCATGGATCCCCGCCCAATCCGCGCCCGCGTGACAGCCTGTCGCTCCGCCCCGTTCCCACAGCTCTTCCAGAACTACAGCTCCCAAGGGGCAGTGCGGTGGCGTCTCGGAAGTAGTGGAACATGGCCGGCGGAACCGGAAGCCCCGGGCGGGGCGCGGGCAGCAGCGCGCCGGCGCCGAGTGAGC